GAGACAGGGTCTTGTAATCACTAAGTTCCAAAGACTGGGCTCAAAATTGCAATATGCTGGGATTACAGGCGTGGGCCCCACTGCGCCTGGCTAGAAGAAGTTCTTGAAGGAAGCAAAAAGTTCTGTCCCAGGGAGCTCAGGGATGAGAAGGAGAGGAAAGAGCCTTAAACTAATCTGGACGAAGTCTTAGTATCCAGATAGAAGATCAGCACAGCCACAAAACTGCCTTAAGGCAAAGCCTCCTCCACAGCAAGGTCTTCCTTGCTTCAATTCTGTGATGGCTAAGGAGGGAAGGAAACTGCAGAAGAAAAGCCTGAATAGCCGGACATGGTGTTGCATGCCTGTAATCCCAATACTCAGGAGGCTGAGGCAGGAGGGTCACCACAAGTTCTGAATTACATAGTGAGACCCTGTCTCAAAAAAACTAAATATTCCGCTGCCTGCCTCTCAAGGGCAAGGACCCGAGTTCATCCCTGGTACCAAAAAAACCCAAAACTAAATAAATAAAACATTAGCGTTTCAAAGTACAATCAATATCAAAATATTTATACTGTTTTGGTACTATCTTTGAAATCCAGTGTTTTCTTTTAGAGACAGGGTCTTACTATGTAACTCAGGGTGGCCTTGAATTCTTACTAATCCTCCTGCCTCAGCCTCCTGAGTTCTGAAATTGCAGACCTGCAGCACCACATCTAGCTCTGAAATCCAGTGTACATTTTATACCTGGAGCACATCTCACTTCAGACTAGCCCTTCCCAAGCACCTAAAAACCTCCCGTGCCTGGAAGCTGCTGGGCAGTGCTGGCCTAGGTGCTACATAAAGCCAAGGGAGCTGGACTGACGTATGAAGGAATGAGCAGAGACAGAGAAAAGAGGAACTGAGTAGACCACACGTCTCCTTAGAAGATGAGAAAACTGAGGCCACAGGAGGGTGGCTTAGTCTGGGGCCGAGTGGGTCCCAAGGCATCTGTGGGATCTTCCAGGCTGTATGCAGGCTGAGTATCCCTGACCTGAAATACTGGGGACTAGAAATGTTTCCAATGTCAGGGTGGATTTGGATTATTTGCACCGACAACCACTTGAGCATCCCCAATCCGAAAATCTGAACTCCAAAAAGTCATGAGAAAGTCCTGAATTTCAAATGAGGGACCTCAACCTGTGTCTACCCAGGAGACTTTGAGTCATGGCTGACCTCGATTCTTCCTGGGAAAGAAAGAGGAACTTCTTTATCCCTTGCTTGCTGGGGCCCTGCACCCAGTGAGGGTCTCTTTCTCTCTTCAGACAGGCCTCTGCTGGAAGAACTGGTGAACTTTAGGGAGCAAATGATCAAGGAATTCAAGAAAGTTTTAAGATCCTATGAATCAAAAGGTACATCGTGCTCTCCACCGAGCCCCTGCCTCTCCTTCCCCGCTGATGCCTTTCTGCCATTTTTCCTCCCAGATTTCTTCCTCCCCTCCCCTCCCCTGGGACTTAGCCTCATCTCTCCCCAGTATTCCTAGCTGTCATTCCTGGAAGTCATGCTCACCCCTCTCCCAGTCCCTCCTCAATTAAATTCTCAACTGCTGTCCTGACTTCACTCACCTCTGCTCTTTTCTCTTGCAGCCTGTGATCCCAAAATATGCCGTGAGTCCTGGATTTATTGTCCATCCCTCTCTTATCTGCTCTCTTACACTCTGTGTAATAACACATACTCTATTGGGCAGTTCCCCTCTCCCAAAGCCATAGTACTGAGGAGTTCGCCTTTGTGAGCCCTTATGAAAATGGTTTTGACCTGCAAATAGTACCTTTGGATACTCAGGATAGGATAGGGTAACATATTGTGTCAAATAAACCCCCATAACTAGGGATTTCTCTCTCACCTAAATTGAGAGTCCAATGACTCTTCCAAACAGCAACTCTGGTCCCCCCCTCCCGGCATACCACACCTTCTAAGCTTGCTTCAAAAGGAGAAAAAGAATATGGACTCACACTGGAAGTTGTAGGGCCAAACCTGGAAATAATGTCTACTATGTCACTCGCCATTGGCTAGAACTAGGTCACATGGTTTCAACTAGGTCACGTGGTTGCAAGGCAGCCTGGGAAATGTAGTCTTCCTGTGGGCACTGGAAGAGGAACCAGATGAGGAGGCATCACGTCAGTGTCTGTCTCTGGAAGCTCAAAATTAGGAAAAGAAAAGTACAAACTCAAAATTAACAAATGTTTCATTAAATGTCTACAAGTGGAATGTTGGGTCAACTGGAATATTGCTACTCAATTTAACTCTTGTCTTTTGTGTGAACTGTCAGTGCATTGTTTACTCTCCCATGAAGTGGGTCCTCCAAAGTGCAGGAGAACCAAGAAGACCCCATCTCCTCTTCCCCTTCTTCCTCCCCACCCCTTCCCTGTTCTCTGGATTGGCCCTCATCCTACTTCTTCCTTTCCCCTCTTCTAGACTTGCTCAAAGAGGAGGTCTTGGACTGTTTGCATTGCCAGAAAACCAGTCCCAAATGTATCAATGACAAGTACTGCCTCGGTAAGCTTCAGGGGAAGGGGACGACGAGGGAGAGATGTCTGAGGGCTGAAGACCTCCATGTCCGATGCCCTTGCCATTTGCCTACACTGTGGCCCAGAAGTAGCTGAAATCCACCTGAAATCCACTTTCACTTCTGTTAAGTGGGAAGAACCTTTTGGAGCTTAACAGCACCCTAGCACCACAATGGCAAGTGCTGGAAAAGACTTTATTCCTAGCCATTGCCATTCCTAGGGAGCCTATAAAGATATGCTAAATTCATTCATTCATTCAGAGAATACACATGCACACAGGGGCTAGAGCAGAGAGAATACAATGAATCCACATTTATCCATTCCAGCTTGATACAGTAGCCACACTGGGTCACTGTAGTGCTATCCCTTCTCTCTGTCCCTTGCTCCTTTCATTTAGATCTCAGTGGCCCGTCAGAGAGGCCTCTCTGATCAGTCTGTAAAGATGCACTTTCCACCAAACTCTCTGCAACCGTCCACCTTGGCCTCACCTATTTTATTCTCTGCCAAAAGAGATCACAGACCTCAGGCAATTCCACTCATTCATAGCGTAGCCTCTAAAAACAAGGACGTTTTCTTACATCACCACAATGCCATCCCATATCCAACAAGCCTAAGGATGATTCTGCAGTCAACAAAGAATTTCAAGAAAAAAAAAAAATTTCAAGCTCTATCAACTCCCTGTCAACAGAATATTTTCCACAGCTGATTTGCTCAAATCGAGATTCAGTAAAAGGGATCCCCAGATTGTTCAGTTGTTAGGGTTTTTCTATTTATTTATGTATTTATCTATTTCTATTTATTTATTTATTTATTTTGGAGACAGGGTCTCGTTATGTAGTCCAGGCTGGCATTGAACTCTCATTCTAGTCCAAGCTGGTCTCTACCTCAGAGCCATCCTCCTACCTCAGCCTCCTGAGTAGTGGCATTGCAGGTGTGCACCACTACACCCTGGTTTCACTTTAGTTTTATTTTATTTTATTTTTATTTTTTTGGTACCTGGGATTGAACTTGGGACCTTGCGCTTACAAGGCAGGCAGCAGCACCATTGAGCTAAATCCCCGGCCCCTACTTTGGTTTTAAATCTAAATTTCATCTTTCATTTTTTCCCTTCCATGACACTGGCTAGTTGAAAAGCAGCAGTATGTCCAAAAGAATGGCCTGTTTTCAGACTCCTCTGTCTCCTCTTCTCTTCTGGATGGAGTTCAATAAGAAATATTTTGAGCACCATATAGTGCCCTGACCTGGAAACCAACAGGATGGGAGATGTTTCTAATGGAGCCACTTTTTTTTTTTAAGAGTAGGAAAAACTTATTGAGAGAAAGAAAGCTTCTGCCTAAGAGAGACAGAGGGGGAACCGGAAAGTAGGCGGCCCACCCACCCCACTTTTCAAAGATGTTTTATACAGCAAAGCCATGTGGTGAGGTGGGTACAAAGTAGGACAAAACTCTAAGACCCAATGGAAATTTATGAGGTGGGACAAAACCATGACCAACCTATAAGATTACAAGTACAGTCACCCAGGTAATATTGATTAAATGGGGGTCAAATGGGGGAGCAAGTCAGTAGCAAGCATACAAGGATTTTCAGTAAGGGTGGGTCAGGGATATTTCCTGGAAAGGCTGGGTTGAGACCTTGACCCGCCCATCCAGGTGACTGATACCTATTTAGAATATCAATCACTGCTATTCATCCCCAGGGGAAGCACAAGGGTGTGTGGTTTCTCTCCTTTTACAGTGCTGGCTTTCAGTGACTGTGTCTTCACTGTCCTCCATGTTGGCTCCTTGTGGGCTGGCCCCATCTAACTGCCTACAAGATATCTAATTAACTCACCTATCTGCAATATTCCCCCTCTGAAGAAGGACCCCTAACTGCTGTGAGGGGGCAAAGGGTGAAGACCAGTCTGGCTACTTCTGGCTGAAGGGGGTCGTAGTTGTGATCAGCAGTCAGAGTTACTCTCCAGAGGGTCTATCTAAAGGTCCTGGACAGTGCCAGGCATGTCACCTTGGTAGCCACATAGCTTTGAGTCTGGAGGAGACAAAGCCGAAGAAACAGTTAATACATGGGCCAAATTATACAGTCAGCAGGATTGCTATGAATATAGCCCAAAAGGGTCTCCACTGGGAGGAACTAGTAACAGCCTCCCACAAAGAGGATAAGGAGAAGGTTCAGGGGACTTCAGAATCCAACACAGAAGTTGTATTGTATAGTTTAGCAGTTCTGAGCTGTTTACAGGGTCGAACTGGTGGATCCCGGTAAAAGAAGTCTAGCACATGTGTCATTGGTTCCATTTGTATGACTGCTTGGAGTTTGGCAGCCTCTAGGCTTGAGCCACATTTTAATGGGGCACGGGGTTAGACGAGCCATTCCCACCTCTGCCTGCTGACGCTAGGAGCTGGTGCCTCATGTATAAAGGCTGCCCTGTGTATTGCAGGTGTCTAGCACTGTGCCTGGCCCGACCCATCAGAAATGTTGGAGGCATTTCAGAGTGCCCCTCCCCTGGGGAGGAGCCTCTGATTGAGAGCCACTGGGATCGACAAGGACGGGCTAGACATGAACAAATCAACCAATTCCAGAGAGCAAAAGGTACCCTGGGGAAAACGGAACCACACTCAATAGAAAATGTCGGGGAGCAGCGGTAAACTTGGTTACATTACAGAGTGCAGGTGCGGGTGCCCCAGGAGGTGACCTTGGAGATCTGAAGGAAATGAGGGACCGGAACCGTGTGAATGACAAAGGGAACAGCGCTGCAAAGATCTGAAATGAGGAAGCAGAAAGAGGAGAAGCGGATTGGCCCGGCTAGAATGAATGACAGAGAGCGAATGGGTGAAGAAGAGCAGTGGGGCAGCTCCTGTGTGGGCCGGGTCACAGGGCACAGATGGATTATTCAGGACCAGGTGGGCCTTGGGCTTTTATTCAGAGACGGGAGCTTTGGAGCGGCCCGACTCGGCGAGTCCAGCGCTTTTGGTGTGTCGCTGGCGCCCTCTGGAGGCCGTGTGGGGAAGTGTAGGGGATACGCAGGGATTCCCTTGAGAAAAGCAGTGCCGAGGCTGGACCAAGTGGGTCCCCACAGAGGTGGATTGGATTCTGGCTGTCGCCAGGACGCTTTGCTGACCGAAGGAAAGCGCTGGGGGCGGAGGAGAGTGGAAGACGCAGGACGCACTCCCCTGGCTCCCTTCAGGGTGATGGGCGCGGGGCTGAGGAAGGCTGGAGACCTGAGCCCCGCTGTCCCCCCCCACCCCGCCCCCGGCCCCAGTGGACGGGCAGCCCCGCGTGGCCCTGAAGTAAGACATGATCGGCAGACACCTGCGGAACCCGCCCCTGGTGGGCATCTTCATGGCCGTGTTTTTGGCTCTCTTTTTCTTCTTGGTCATCCTGATCTCGTGAGTCATCCCTGCCCGAGTCCCCCAGTGCCTCCTGGGTCCCCTGAAAATGGCACCTCCCAGATGGGTCCCTGCGTGCCTCCCTGGTCACCTCCCTGGTCACTCCATGCTCCAGCACCCCCCTCCGTTTTTTTCCTTCCCTCCCTCCCTCCTCGATCCATCTTTTTCATCTATCGCTGTCTTTCTCCTCTTTCCCCCACCCCAAGTCACTTCCCAAGACCCTCAGAAGTTTCCCCTTTGTTGACCGCTTCTTCCATACCAATACTACAATACTAAAATAACTTTTTGTTACATAAGCTTTCTTATAATATTTCCTATCATGGTCATAGCGACACCCTGCCATTCTGGTTTCCGTTGGATCTGTGTTACGCCATTACCTATAATGACAGTCATATGACATGGGAACAGGTACAGGCCCATTTAAAGGGAGTATGGAAAAGTACTCCCCTGTCCATAGATTTATAACATTTACATTCACAAGTTAGTGCTATTAGTCAGGCACAACTACAAACTTCTTCAGCAGAAGTAATAGCTAGTTCCTTCCTGTCTTCTCTCTCCTCCTCTATTTCAACAAAAACCTTTTTTTCCTTCATTATTAATTTGGGAATCACCATTTTAGTCATATTAATCCTCCTATTTTGTCTTCCAGTCATCTCCAGACAATTAATTCGAGCCCTCAAGAATATCCAACTTGAACTCTACGTCGCCAAATTTGAAAAAATAAAAAATAAAAAAGGGGGAGATGGTGAAGCCCAACCGACCTCCATTGCTGCTTGACAAAGTTCCAGCTGGGGGAAAGAAAGGGTGGAACACATCGTACCCTCATGTTTTATTTTTTCTTGCCATAATGTTTATAATTGTTACTCTGATCACAGGAGTCATTGTGTTTGTGACTAACAACAAACTCTCCATGAGGCAAATTGGTAATGATATATTGAAATCTGATCTGGCTCACAAGTCCCAAATTCCAGTTTCTCTTAGTTCTATTGCCACATCCACTCCTAAAGAAACCTCTCCTAAAACCCCCTCTGTTTCCCCACTACTATGACTCCCCCTCTTATTGCTGACATTCTATTTACTAAAGGGGTCTTACGAAAAGATTGGAAGGATAGACTTTGGATGTAAGAAATAGCGGAAAATGGGAAATAGAAAGAACGTTAAGACAGGTAAAGGCATTAAGGAGACAAGTTACTCAATATTTCTCAAAGTGCTGTAAATATCTCCTGCTCATGGACAATGAACCCAAATGATATTTAGTTAAGATGAATAGAGGTATAGAAAAATAGAGAGCTAATAGCAAACTATATTAACCATTGTACAGTTTCTCAAGGGCCAGGTGGTGACCACAAATTTGACACTTAGTTGATTAAATCTTGCTTGTACCCACGCTGATATAAAGATTTTGATTAAGTTACTTTCTGTTCTGTTTAGGTGTGGGTTAGTAAGGGGACAATTGTAATTTTTAAATATGTATTCGTGATGTTCAATGAAATGAAACAGCTTAGAGGAATTGTACTTTGTTTAACAAAAAATAACCTTTACTTCAATAAAAATTGCTAAGGCAACTTAAAATGTAAACATGTTCCACCCAATGCCTCTCAGCTATTGCTTAAAGATATAAAAATAAATCAGACCCTGAGATTTCTCAGAGGGAACCTGAACATTGCTTGTGAAGGTGCTTTTCTCATCGCCAGTCCAGGACATCTCCCCTTCCTACCGTACATCGACTGCAGCTGGTCTGAGGCACCTTCCTAACCTCCAGGTTTGTTTGTTTTTTTTTTCCTCTGACCAGGGCTTGTACATACAGGCAAAACCGAAAACTTCTGGGCCGGGGATTTAGCACAGTAGTTCCAGTGCCTGTCTTGCAAGCGTAAGGTCCCGAGTTTGATCCCCAGTACCAAAAAAAAAGAAAACAAAACCAAAAACTTCTGCTGCGATAGGCCTGTGGCTTTGGAGTTTGTAAAGGGAAAAGAAAATAAGTTTAATAAAATCTGTGATAAATTCTTCAACGTCTCCGTCAGTTTCCTGGGGACCCTCCCTTCAGTTGTTGTCCAGTTGTTTTTCTTACCAGGTGCTCCTGAAGGGTGAAGACCAGATCTCATTCATCTGCAGATACCAATTATCCTAGACTGAAGTCATTCAGATCAGCAGAACGACCTTTCATGAAGGTTTGAAGGGACACCCATTCCTCTTGTGGGAGGAAATGCACCTAAAAGAGATAATGTAAAGTGTTAAACAGAAGAGGAACAGTGGGAGAGGGCAAGTGTCCCCCTCTAACTGAACTCTTAATTTTTGTGTGTACCTGAATAGATTCGAATATATTTTCAAGTAAATGGAAATTTTGCTACTCAGTAAACCAAAATAGGGACCAAATAGATTGGATAACATGAGATCCTTCTATTTTTCAGCCTGCCAGCAGAACAATCCCTATCGAATAGAGGATTCAGATAACGTATGAGGAGATGGGCAGGAATGAGAAAAGGCTGAATTTAGAGTAAGATTTAGTGCCTAGCACACTGCCGACTTAGACCAGACACTCAGAAAGTGGGGGAAGAGGGGCCTACAAAAATGATCCATACACCGAGGCTTTGCACGCCAGGAAAAAGTTTGCTAGGTTTTACCAATATCTGGAAATAAAACCTTAAATACCTCATGGGTCCAGGTGGGTAAAGTGAATAACCTTAAATTTTCATTCACTATGACCGGAATTAAACAGCAACAACTCAGCTCCATCGTACCGTGGTCGTGGCAAAAGAGCCCCCGTGTTTTCAGGTTTTCACATTTTTCAAGAGAACACAGACATTCAGACTTGTTTGTATGTGAAATTTATAACTAATGTTGGCAACTGTTGTATTTCAAAATACAACTTCCTATCTGTGTGAGGTGGCGGGAAAAGTTTTGGGGCTTTGTTGGTTGTAGATTTTATGTTGACGAGAAATTAGCGAAGTTTTAAGTGTTGCTTTCCGCTCCTGGACTCCCTAATAACATTTTACAAAATCCTTTGCTTCGGCTTAGGCGTCTGTTGCCATACTGTCCTCGGGTACTGTTAAAGATAGGAGGGTGTTATGTAGACACGACTTCCGATTGGCTAAAACCTAGACTTCCCTGTTTCAGGGAAGTTTCTGTTGCCAAGATACCAGTCTTTGTACATGCGCAGTGGAGCGCGCCTCCCGCGGGGCGGTTTTTGAAGAGGCGGCTGTCTCCCACCAAGAGAACTCTGGGAATAGTAGTTTTCAGGCTCGACCTGCGCAGGTGCACTTCCCCACGCGGCTTTGGCAGAACGCGCACATCTCTCTCTTTGCAGTTCCTTCTTTCTCGTAATACTGGAAAAGAAAGGAAGGAAGGAACCAGCTCCGAAAGTCTGGGCCCCTTATCTCTGACCCGGTACCTCCTCTTTCCCTGTACCAGGATGCTCCAGCTGCGGGGGCCGTGACTATAGACAGAGGTCGCTAGTTGCCATGGCGACGGCGCTAGGGGCGCGTTTGACGCTAACGCCACGGTGCGCGGGCCGGGGTCGTGGCTACTGCTGACTCAGCCTAGATGCTTAGCTTCACGGCGCTTCTTAGGGGCAACTAGTGGCCCAAAGGTGCTTTTTGGGTAGCAGTGAGCAATGTTGTTTTTGTTTAATATCTTTGTGGGTCTGGTCCAGACGCTCCCTTAGTTTCTCGGGAATGGTCTTGGCGAAGTGCACCGTAAACGGACAATTACATTGTGCGAAAATTACAGTGTGATGGGAGCTCCGGATGGGCGCAGCCTGGGGTAGCGGATATAGACACTTATTAAAGAATTACAACACAGCAATTATTACCATATCAGCGCCGGGACATTGGGGTGTTCCTGTGGGAATCCAGGCAGGGAGTTGCCACTTGCAGCTGGGCAGGCTCGGAATGGGAGCAGTTTTTCTGACGGGAGAGGCTGAAGCAAAGTAGGTTTTTTCCACAAGGAGTATGGAGGAAGGGCAGAGGGAACGGCAGAATCACACGGTGGGAACGACTGTTTTTAGTAGTAGCAAAGACATCTCCAGCGTTTTCTGTCTGCTGTGTACTATTATAGTGGCTCTACTTACATCAGTCTTTTCGGATCTCATAACCTGATTGACAGGGCATTATCTCACCATGTACGATGGAGGAACTGAGGCACAGAGCCGTCACAGTAAGCAGGACTAATGACGTTATGCTGCCCTTCTTACAGGGTCCAGGAGTCAATGAATGCTGTATCTGCAAAGCAGATAATTGACTTGTATTCACATCGAACTGAATAGACCTCCAGAGATGGTCGTATTTGCCAGTATTAACTAGTTAATGCTGCAGTAACAAACACCTCCCAACCCTTCTCGTTCATTGGCCTACAGCAGTGTTCCCCAATTTTATTGACCTTAGGGACTGGTTTTGTGGAAGATAGTTTTTCCACAGATGAGAAGGTATGGTTTTGAGATGACTCAAGTGCTTTGTGTTCATTATGCACTTTATTATTGTGTTGTGATATATAATGAAATAGTTATATAACCGCATAAGTATATAACCTCATAATTATATAACCAACCAGAATCAGTGGGAGCCCTGAGCTTTTTTTCCTCAATGAGATGGTACCATCTAGGTTTGATGGGGGACAGTGACACCCAAAGTGTGTTGCTTGGGTCCAGTCTACTCCATAATCTCACTTTGGTTGCTGTTGTTACAGAAAACCCTGCTTCACAAACACAGGATGTTGGAAATGGAAGCAAAAGTAATGCTCAAACTCTTGAAATCTGAGATGGTTCATACAAATGTCCTTAGCAGCAGACAAGATCAACTCTTCACCAGTAGTAAAGGGCTTCTCAGTTTTAGCAATGCTGTTAGACAGTAAGAATGATGCTCTCAGCGCAGACACATTTGATAAAGTGATGGCCTTCAGTATTCTTCATGTTCCCTTTTTTTCATTTTGAAAAGCTCCAAAGGCTTTTGTTTAATGTAGGGTGCTTGGTCTCTGTGTGGCAAAGTTGTTTGGAAGGTTTCATGCCTTCTTGAATACCCAATGCCTCCACATAATACACAAAGTGAACTTTGAGAATGTGAATCACCTGTTGCAGTGAATCCGTAATTTAAGCAGGACTCTTGATATTTTTTTTTTTAATGTAGCTCTCTGTAGTGGCAGTCTTAGTGTCTTTTGCTTTCGCATCCCCCTTTTCAAAGAAGCTCCCCCAAATGATGTGTTTTGGGGTTTTTTTTAACTCATTTTGGGCTGTGGTTAGCTGTGGGCTTCCAAAGCAGTGACTGAAACAAGTGGGCAGTGCAAAAAAGAGGTGTGCAGGGCCAGGGATTTAGCTCAGTGGTTCCGCCGCCTGCCTTGCAAGTGCAAGGATCCAAGTTCCATTCCTGGTACCAAAAAAAAAAAAAAAAAAAAAGAGGTGCGGACAGAAGTGGTAAGAGGGCAGACTATGCACAGACTAAAACAAGCTTTGGACTGTGACTCGAAGCCACCAGATGCAGCTGTGTAATTTTTTTTTAAGTATTTTTTATTATAAAGAGTCAAGAGAGATTAACAATCCACATGTTATCTCAGAACATTTCCCCTGATTCTGAATTTACTAGGTTACTCTGTACCAGCGTCTCCATTCACATTCTCAGGTTTTATAGTCCTTTTCAGATATATTGACTGATTGTATGTACATATTGCTTAGAAACAAAAATCCATCTGCTATTAAGACCAACCAAAAACAAACAGCAACAACCACAAAAAAAT